ATAACTGGCTCATTCTTCTTGCTTCTCCTCCTCAAAACTTCGCTCTCTTCTTCTCACTTCACGCTCCACTCTCTGGATCTTACCCTCGGTGTGCGCTAATACCTGAGAGTTCACCACTGCGCCGTTTTCATACCACGATCGTACAAGCGCCTCGCTCCTACTTCGAAGAGCGGAAATCTCGGCAGCTTGCGCAAGCTGCGTAGCTTCAATTGCCTTCATGCGCTGCGTGAGCGAGATCAAACCCGCACTGGCAGAGGACTCAGGAATAGGGATGTCCTTGACGGCGGTGAGGGCGGAGAGCGTGGCGGGGAACGACGAGGCGGCGGAGAGGACGATGGATTGGACAGCCTCTGAGTCGAGCTGGGAGGGAGGTTGGGAGGGAGGAGGAGCGTGGAAGAGATCTGGGGTTGACTTGTCTAATCGCGCCAAAGGGGTTAGAAAAGAGGGGAATGCTTCGGTGGACTGGGCTCAACTGACAGATCTTGAGAAGCTCTGCATAGACACGGATTTGAGAAATCATTCTGCTAAATCGCCGTTCTAAGGCGTCCATTTTCCCAAGGGCGGCGTCATGCTGCGTCTGGCTTGAAAAGGGCGAGGCGGTGGTGCCGTAGAGGAGATGCTCGATTCGCAGGAGGCGCGATTCGAGCAGAGAGATGGTCGCGAGGGTCGTTTTATCGAGGGGATCCTCCATTTCCACCGACATCTTGCGTAATGGCAGGGAGCGGCCTGTGAGCTGGAGGCGACAAAGAAGGGCGTTTGCTCTGTGGTTTGCGCGTTACGATGGAGTGAAGAATGGAAAGCTGGTTGCACTATGACGCTTTGGAATAGCTGTCGGAGTGAAGCTCCAGTTGCGTTGGTGGACTAGTGCGGTGTGCTGTGATTCGTTGGATTTTTGAGTGCGCCTGCCTGCAAGCTCTTGAATGTTAGCGCCAGCGGTCAAACATTCAATGACACGCACATCTACCGCAGCATAAGCTACCTTATCCATTAATTAACATGTAAATGTGACGTCTGTCGTATTAATTAGGGTTATTGTAAGACTACGGAAATCCTCAAGCCACAAAGCAGTCTCTACGCTATGAATGCTTTTAGGTAATATCCCTACCCATCTAGAGATATCGCCAAGCCCAGTTGTATCACGGCACGGACACGTGCCTCTTATAGATGCCCTGTTTCTGCCGAGAGACGGCCACATCAAATTGGCGGGCTAACGTGTGCAAAGTGCTTCATTGAAACAAATACTACGACGTAGAGAGTATGGATCGCCGTAAAGCAGTCTGTCTGCAAAACACTCATCAGGCACCGTTTCTATATATGTCCCATCGTTGCGTTGCGTGCCGGATGGGCGGTTTTGAACTAACCAACCACAAGGCTAGCACTGAGTACAGTTGCATCCGTGCCTGGAAGGGTCCTTTTTAGCGGGGAAGCATTGCCTGTAACACAAAGCACAGCATGGGCAAGGCCATCAATACGAGGCCATAGAGCAATAACAACGCAAATACAAAGACTGTCCGTGTACATATATTTGACTTTCACTATAATTATCTTGTCTGTTGGTTTCGGCGGCACACGCATCGGAAAGAATACGGAGTGGCGCAATCGCGATAAGATGTGGCCATGCGCCCCAAGCCTCGTGATTGGTTGCGGATGCCAGCCGTTTGGGTCCGGAGACGCCCCCCCGCTATGAAATGCAGTCACTGTCGGAGACGCCAGGCCAGCGCAGCGCTTCCTCTACAGTACAGCAGGGCGCTGGCTTACCTTAGTAGAAAACCCCCGGCCAGGGCCAATTTGGCAGCGGCCATCACAATCTTCAACCTCACCTCATCTGGCAGCCAACCGCCGCTCGTTCGCCATCATCCCTCCGACGCTCGCTATTACCGCTGACACGCATCGCCACCCTCCAGATCGCCGCTGTTGAAGTGTCGCACGACGGCTACCATCTGCGATACCCGGAGATTGGCACCGACAGCTGGTCACTCGACCAACTTCCGGCGGAGTACCAGCCAGAGGGTTGCGACGTTGGGACCGTTGGGCGGCGCGTCTGCCCGCTGAGCAAGCCGTATCGAGACCGGCTATGACTAACTACCAATCCATCTCAGATAGGGTCGCCTCTCCTGGGGGCTCCAGCAGCATGTCAAGGTGAGTCAAGGCGAGTCTGAGGACTTTGGCTGTTCGCATTGGAGTGACCGACTGATCGACTGACTTCTCTTTCCCGGTTCATAGATCGCGACGCCGAGCCGGTAAAGACGGCCATGGCGGGCAGGCCTCTATGTTTAGTAGCATCGTCAACCTGCTGAATACAAGTTCGCGACCCCTACCTCCGATATCTACACCGTAACGAAACGCTACTAACTTGGTTGCGCAGTTGTTGGAGCCGGCACGCTTGCCATGCCCTCGGTTTTATCGCACATGGGAATTATGCTGGGAACTCTTCTTATCATCTGGTCTGGATTCACCTCCGCGTTTGGCCTCTACCTGCAGTCCCGATGCGCGCGTTATCTCGACCGCGGAACGTCGTCCTTTTTCGCCCTGTCCCAGTTGACATACCCGAATGCGTCCGTCATATTCGACGCGGCCATCGCTATTAAATGCTTCGGCGTTGGAGTGTCATACATGATCATCATCGGCGATCTTATGCCTGGAGTTGCCTTGGGCTTCAACAGCAACGCGGACAGGATTCCCTACTTGGTAGACCGGCATTTTTGGATCACTGCTTTTATGCTCCTGGTTATTCCCCTGAGCTTTTTGAAGCGACTTGATTCACTCAAATATACCAGCATCGTTGCTTTGGTGTCTATTGGGTATCTCATCATTCTCGTCATCTACCACTTCTCCGTCGACCCGCATGCCGATCCAAGCAATATCCGAGTCATCCAATGGGCTGGAGCCGTCGAGACCCTCAGCGCGCTGCCAGTGGTTGTTTTCGCTTACACTTGCCACCAGAACGTACGTTCCCTCACTCTCTTTTCCGACTGCTGTTCAAGTCGCTAACTCTGCTTAGATGTTCTCCATTATCAACGAAATCAAGGACAATTCCCCACCCAGCATTGTGCGAGTTGTTGGGTCTAGCATTGGGTCCGCGGCATCTATCTATGTCTTGGTGGCCATTACCGGGTATATCACTTTTGGTAATGCCATTGTTGGAAACATTGTGTCTATGTGTAAGAATTCCCCGGGCTCATAAAATCACATAATGAGCGCTTCGTACTGACATGGTGTCCTTTAGACCCTACCGGGGTCGCCTCTACAATTGGCAAGGCAGCAATCGTTGTGCTCGTCCTATTCTCCATTCCTCTACAGGTCCATCCTTGTCGTGCCTCTCTTGATGCCGTCTTCAACTGGCGACCCAACAGGGGTAACTCAAGCGGCGGCCGTGCTGGTTCCCCCTTACTGAACTCGGCACCGGCTCAACGTGGAGACCACGGCAGCACTGCGCCAATGTCCGATCTCAGATTTGCCCTCATTACTACGATTATTCTAACTCTAGCTTACATCACCGCACTCTCAGTTAGCAGCCTTGACCGTGTCCTTGCCTTCGTTGGGAGCACGGGATCTACATCCATTAGCTTTATTCTACCTGGCCTATTCTATTATAAAATCAGCGATCCCGAAAGCGTCCACCATCAGCGCCTGGCCAAAGAGGACGACGACATGGACGGTTCTGACGATTCTGATGTTGAGGACTCTGGGGCACTTGCCCAGAGCACCCACAGCATTCGCAGTGCAGCCAGCGTCGCCAGCGGCCGGAGCGGAAATGCCTTGCGCTGGCGTAGAAAATGGCGATGGGATTTGGAGCATGTCGATAACGGTCTTTTACGAAAGATGGCTCTGGCCCTAGCGATATATGGAATGGTCGTGATGGTGGTCTGCTTGGTTATGAACATTTTCTTCATTACGGCCGCCCACTAAACATCCTCTGACGGATGGTTGTCGTTTTGCCGAGACATCAACAGAAAGAGTGCCGCTCAATCGTTCTTCTTGAAGGGGCGTTTTTTTGATCTTACAAATCATACCACAGAACTCGTTGACATGCCTGGAGTTTAGATAAAGGTGATTTATGGCGTTGATTTCTTTCTTTCTTTCTTTCTTTCTTTCTTTCTTTCTTTCTTTCTTTCTTTCTTTCTTTCTTTCTTTCTTTTTTCTTTTGGAAACGTGGGTATACCGATGACGAGAGATGTCGGTTGGGGAATGGCCCTGCAGCGAGTTGTATAGTCACCCTTTTGTGAGGCACGGAGTTCATGATACTAAAGCGCTGTACGTCTCCGCGGGATGTGGAAATGCCGTGGCATGGATCACTCAAGAGAGGGAAAGGGAGAGCGATGGATATCGTTAGAATGATATGATTACTACTAGTCGTGGTATATAAACAAAATTACAACAGTCAGCATGCGCGAGGGCTTTGGAGGTTCTAGTCGGCCATGAGTGCGTCTGAATTGGGGACCAACTCGTGGCCAGACGTCTTTTTGCAGCGCCGTTCAAGGCCGGTCCGCGCCTGATGGAAAGGCATTGAGGTGTTGTGTGAGATCCTGTGACTCACGCCATCTTATTGACGTCAACGAGTGGATGTGGTTAACGTTATTTGTGTTGTTGTGTTGTTGTGTTGTTGTCGGCTCTGCCGTTGATGATGTAGTACTTGTTTATTTTATTCTCCATATGAGATGATGTAGTACTTGTTATTTCATTCTCCATATGAGATCCAAAGAATTAGGGTAAAGGGTTTTAAGCAGTCACACTAACCACCTATTGTAGGCATGAAAATTACATTCAGGCAAATTCCTTCATATGCTGCCAGAAACAGGTCTAGATACGCGCACATGCCACTGTTCCATTTTCAAGTCAGATGAGAGTTAAACCAGCTTCACATAATTGAAACAAGCTTGTTGTGGTATTCGCCCCTCTATATCAAACCCATACCAACGCCGTTGAAATGCCCAAAACACATATCATACAATCATCTGCGCTCCGATTTTCACATTTTCCTCTGACCCCCCATAAACCCTTTATCGAATCTTCACATCGCCCGCGTTGACGCTGCCCTTGGACTCGTCTGCCTTTGGAGCAAAGTCCCTCTTTGGCAGGATGCCGACCATGGACAGTAGTCGCCATGCCGTGTCAGTGGGCTGAGCGCCGACACCAATCCAGTACCGTGCGCGCTGAGAGTCAAGCTTGATGTCCTTGTGCAGCTTGCCAGAGTTGTCATAGGGGTCGGGCTTTGGGATAGGGTCGTATGTGCCAATAATTTCGAGGGGACGAGAGTTGCGCGCAGTGCTAAAGGGTTCAAAGAAGAAGTGTCAGTCAATTGCGGACATGGACTGATGGCACGCAAGGTGGGGGGGTTTTCCCAATTGAATTGGCTGCGTACGCACCGAGCATGAGCTACGACGATGTTGTAGAAGGGAGAGTTTCGGCGCCCGAATCGGGCGAGACGGATTTTAACGACCATGGCGAAGGGCGAGGCTGGAGGTTCGGCTTGGACAGAGGAGAGCGAAGTCTGAGAAAATGCGATTGGCCTCGAAAGATTGGTCGGCAGTGGTGTTTTGGACAAGACTAGAATATTTTGGACCGGAGCTGCAGTTTTGCCGTCCTGGCCAATCAGAGCCGGTAGATCGGGACCCGGGACCGCTGACATCACGCCGGTGTTATAAACGGCTGTCGCTAATCTCCAACGACATCATGACATCCTGGACGCAGGTTTTTGTCCTTGTTCGCATCCTGAAATGATTGATCTCTGGCGCAAAATCTACACTTTGGACAGCATCTCGGCATTCTCTTCTGCACAACTCACAATGGCTATCAAGGTGCTCTCACACTCCGTTCTTGTGGCTGAATCTTACAGCGCTAACCTGGTTGTGCAGACTCTCGGCGCAAAGGCTGCAGCGGCTCTGGACCAGGAGCTTATGAGCACTGGCGCCTTTTCTATTGACCAACTCATGGAGCTTGCCGGGCTGGCAGTGTCACAAGCAGGTCAGCACACTCACCCTCACCTGGTGGGGGGCCACGGAATTGACTGCCCGATACTAAGAGGCTGCCGTCGCTAGTCTATCGTGTCCAGCCCTTGGAGAATGGCCCAAGAGTCCTTGTGGCCTGTGGGCCTGGAAACAATGGTAATTCCCATGCCTATATCCCTGTTCTTCCAGACTGCAAGTATCTGACCGCAATCCCTAGGCGGAGATGGCCTTGTTGCCGCACGACATCTATTCTACTATGGTTACAGGCCAACAATCTTTTACCCCAAGAAAAGCAAGAATGAACTTTATCAGGTGAGTCGACCTTCTCCAGTTTTTTCTCGGCATCGGCCACAACTGTAAACCGGGGAATATGCCAGGACAAGTGGTTTTCGAAATTTATTTTGCTCATCAACTTGTGCCTCTGGGCATCTTCTTTGGGTTCACAAGAAAGAGACATTGCTGGAAAATGCCTTCTTTTTGATATTCGAAATGTGTCGTCAACCAAAAATTGTCGATGGCTCATTTGTCCTCCACCCCGATTCATCTCTCTCTGTCCCCCCTCTGTCTGAAAATTTCAACTCCTAGAGTTCCCTCTCTGAAAGTCTGGAGGATTTCTTTTTTTCTTTCTAACCAAGGCTCGTAGCGACTGGCCAAACAACTCGAAGATCTCGAAGTTCCGTTCGTTGATGATTTCCCAACCGCCATGAAATCGACAGACCATATAGTGGATGCGATATTTGGTTTGTGCCTCGTACCTCGCTCATCCAAACAAGTTTCTCGATGGCTGACGCTTGCTCTAGGCTTCAGCTTTTCAGGCGAAGTTCGGGAGCCATTTCCGGATGTAATCAAATCTCTCCAGGAGACCAAAATTCCCGTCACTTCAGTGGATGCACCGTCGTCGTGGGACATCGAAAACGGCCCTCCTAAGACAGGGTTAGGTAGCTCTTTTATGCCCACGGCTCTTGTCAGCCTCACGGCCCCTAAACCATTGGTCAATCATTTTACTGGCCGGCATTTTGTTGGCGGGCGGTACGTACCTCCAGCTTCATGCGTGAACCATACTGACCAGAAGTGTGACAGATTTGTGTCTCCATCTATTGCCAAAAAATATAAGTTCGACGTCCCCCCCTACCAAGGTATTGACCAGGTTGTCGAGATAGGACCGTCCGAGCAGAAGCTCTGATTTTATCCAGGGGTTAGTCAAATTCCAAAGCGTTCCGCGTGTGTCGTCCTTGTCGTGGCTTTCTGTATCCTATGTTGTTCCGGCTGCGCCTGGCAGTCTCTCCCTGTTTGTAATTGTGGTATGGTAGTCGTTACATTACTTGACAGCCGCCTCTTAGGCTGTTTGGACAGACGGGACTCGGGCATCCGCCTTCACGCATTTCATCGTATATGATCGTCACCCCCTGAGGGCAGTCGCTTGAAGGCGGCCGGGAATCCGGACAAAGAGCAACAAAGATGAGGTATTCTTTCCCGCAAACTGGGCATTCAGCCATATGCGCCGTGCACATTTATTTGGAGTAGAATTGCCCGTCAAGCACTCTTGACGACGGAGATCCAAAGGTGGTCAGGGGTAGAGTGACGTCCTTGTGATGGCAACATGAGAGAGGCGATTCTGGATCTTCTGCTTCTGAAAGTGCCCGACGAAAGAAAGTGGCAAGATGTATTACCGCGAATACAGCTCGAAGTTGAGCCCGCTATCGAGCAAGCAACCTCCCCAAGAAGGTGGCTGGACCTGAAGTATTAAGGAGGATCAACAACACAAGATGTGGCTTCAGGCAGGAAGGAGGCTCCTATCCGAATGGAGACAGCTACCAACCGTTGCCACTGCCCGGTTCCTAGCCACAGCGGACTGGGGGGGAGTGGACAGGCGGGTTTGCAGCGGCCTACTCTCGGTGGCTGCTTCCAGGGATTCGCTGCCAGATGGCACACAATTGGCCTGCGAGAGACAGGCAATTGTAACAGCGAAGGAGAGCCATTTTGACAGATAAAATCGCGTGCACCACCGCATTTCTTTGTACTGGCTTGAGCAATGTGTGATCCGATTCGAATTGGGCACAGCAACAGAAAGCTCCGGAGCAAATGCTCCAGCTGAACGTGATAGGCTGAGGCAGCAGGCCGCGCTTACAAAACCGAGGCGAGCCCCAAGGACGGTCCGCTTTTTCTAGAATTACCTTCAGGAACTTTTCGTCCATCTCACCTGTGTTTACTGAAGCATGCGGGAAAGGCCCAGCTCGGGGGCCCGCTGCCTGGCTTGCCTGAAATCTGCTGCCCACCCGGACGGGTTGAACTGGGCGTAGGAGGTCCCGTGGCTGAAATTCGCCTTGGACCCTGCAGTCTCAGGGCCTGCCTTGTAGATCAAGGTTTCGGCTTTGCCTCCTATTGATACTATTGGCTTTTTTTGCTGTCACCCATGGCGTTTACCCGCAGCTAGCATCGGGACAGGACTTGAAGGGGTGTGAATGAGGCGCCCAGATGGCCCAGGCGCCCTCCTGGTTGTGATTGGGTCTCGGGGGGCTCTCCGAGGCACCTACACGCTTTGCAAGACCCGTTGGGGATCGGAGATGTAGCTACCAAGCTACCCTGTGTGTCCTTGACATCGGGAGACCGACCCAGACAAGCTCCACACGGCATATGGAATTCCAGGCGCCACAGGGTGGCGTTGTAGAGTTATATCACGGTAACTTGTACATTGCCGCGGGCCGCTTGGGGTCCATTTTGAAAAGTTGCCAGCTTTTGAACCGCTCTTGGCCTGGCAGCTAAGGCAAAAGAGGCACCGAGGCTTTCAGTTCTCGACTGTTTCACCTGCCAGCACTTTTGATGATCGGTGAAGTCGTTTGTCTCATAGGAGGTGACGGCATACTATCGCCATTATTACCACGGTTGGTGGCTGACGAATCATTTTTCACCAAGTATCTGCTCCTGAGGCTTTGCCTGACACAATTGTCCATTTCGAGGACGATCTTTCTCAAAAAAGGGACTACGACAAGTGTAATTGGTCGATATACAAGACGATCATCTACAATGGTGTTTGGCAGGATGAGATACTAAGATGGTAGGCACAAAGCTAGGCTGTTGACAGGTTCACATGCTTCAGCCACAGCAGCGGGGAAATACATACATTACGGGCTCGTGTGTAAGTACTGTGACAGCGGCTCGGACGGATGATAAGCGGATGAAGAATCCTATCAGACAAACTGATCTCACTTCTGCAGTTCTTATCCCGACAAGTACATCGGAAATCATGTGCCAATGTTACTTGGCTTACGAGTATGCCATCCATGAGGCGAGATGACGCGAGCAAGACGCCGAAAACAGCATTCTAGATTCAGGGAGGCAAATTTCCCCTGGTTCTATCAATGTGTAGACGGAGCGTTGGGCACAAGCCGGCCACGTGTGGCGGCGAGGCGGAAAGCACATCCTCCACTATTGTGTTCAGGGACTTGAGCAACAGCGGAGTCTCGACGTGCCTATTGCCATTTCCGCGCAATGGGGTAAGCGACGCTATTGTTCCGGTTCTTCGGTACGGCATACGGCTTATATGCTGGCTCAATTTATTACGGCTCGTTACGAGTGATCTTAGCCACCTAGAACTCGCGAATGCCGCCATGACCCTGGCAAGCCTGGCAGTGGTCTCAACAAAGGGCGTTGCGTTGAATGGAGCCTCTCTAAACCAATCAAACAAGCAGGTCAGGGATAGCCCAAGCTCTCGGCCCTTGCGCTGTGGTCTCGAGCTGCTCAGATTGGCAAAACGGCGCGGCCAATTGATTGCGGAACAGATCTACGGGCGATTTTGATCCAATCTTCCACATCCATCATCTCGCGCCTCACAATCTCAACGGTCTTTGAGATTCGCCATCCAATATTCCTCGCCTAGAGCTACGGCACTTGTTCCCGCCCAGCCAATGAGGTGCCATTACGAGCCACTCGATATCCCCGGGGGCAGCCTCGCGTGGTGATCGACGGGTGGCGGCTGTGGCTGAGGTGTTCAACTTGCCACCGTCCGTGGGGGCCATGGCCATACAAGAGACATCTACTGTACGAGTTTTCACACTGTCGCCACAGTTGTCGTCGTGTTCGCCTTGATTCTGCCACGCCACCGCTGAGCGGCTTGCGTTGGACTGACGAAAACACACCGAAACAAGGATCGACAACTCCGCCTGGGTACAGTTCCAAATAAGCTTCGCCTTATTGCTAGCAGGTTGCGGAAGACAAAATTTTCTGCGCGTTCTGCCAATTTCAGAGAGCGGAGACTTTCTTATGGCTGCTGGCGGTGAATAGCTCAACATCGAAGCTCGAGGCGCCGGAGGTAATGCTCCTGCTGCGAGCTTGGCCGCAAATGGGAAAACTTTTATGCCGGGCTGTTTTTCCCGGGTTGCAACTGGGGCTGGGCGATTACCTAAGATGAGGCAGGACAGCGGCGGCTTCAAGTTTGAATTTACAAAACACATGGATTGTGCTCGGAGTACGCCGTGGTATGGAGGATGGTCGGTGGCCGAGGCTATCCAGTCTCAGCTACTTATATATGGCTTTACCAGCAGATGTCACAAGCTCAATCGACTTTTGGAGAGTGTGTTTCAGCCTATACTTGAAACTTATACTTGATGTATACGTCTGGCCAAGGGCGTTTGCTATTTCGTATATTATCACCATAACAGGGGCATATATGGACCAATGGATGGTAAATAGAAGGTTATTTGTACGGGATAAATAACAAACACCCTCCATACGAAATAACGCTATTCATTGGCCCAGCACTTTCATTCCCTCCCGGCCATGGGACGCCGGCCCGGCCATCGCCACCGGTGTTTTTGCCGAAAGGACAACACAATTGGATATCCTGTATACTTTGCTATCTCTCCCTTACCGAGGAGGAATTAATTCATTTGAAATTAACAAGGCTAGACCGGCTAGTCGATGTGGGGATCGTTGAGGCGAGAAGACACGCGGACTCGGGCACAAGCGTACCCGAGGACAGCCAAGTGAGACGTACAACCATTCGATTGCAGATGTTTTATTATAAAGTCTGACCTACCTTTTGGTTTGTTGAATTTTACCTACATCTAGGTCGTTCATGCCCCACTGATCATTCAAGACGCCGCTTCCTTTAGCTGTTGATAGGCAGAACTGGTGTTTTTCACATGCCACATACCGGACCTCATCTCCGGCCTGGAGCCTGTTGACATCATGGGAGCATTGGTGTAAGTAACACCACGCAGGGAGCATGCCACTATACTTGCTGCTGGCTAACCAATGAGGTTGCGTATGCCGCATGGCGAATGAGTCGCAGTTCAGGGGGCTGGCTAGTGCTGTACAGTAAAGAGGCCATCTGGAATGGCGATTCGCGCATGGATACATGGCCATTGATGCCTAAACTTGAGCAGATGACTCTTTCGTGCTTCTCCCTTGCCTTAAAGATTTGAAAATTTTGCTCAGGAGGTGGAGATGGGCGAGGGTAATGTAGGAGTGAGCTTTGGTCCGAGAATTCCACATCTTGGGCCAACATGATATATTCTACTGTAAAGACGTTTCTTAGGCCATTCTTCATCAACAGTGCTATATGAGTTAGTAGGAAACGGAAGACTGCTCATAACTCAGAAATATTCATCCATATTTCGAGGGCGAGGCTGGTAATCTTCGCAGAAAGTAAAAAGACTTCAGTATAGTTGTGGCGGTGAATCTCAGCAACTCGGGATGCAGATTATCAACCGCTATGCGCCGCTGTGGGCAGTCTAGGAGGAGAATCCCTGACTTGTCGATTATAAATCGGGAATGAAGCTGACGCTAGAGATGTATGTTGCCCAAACAGCGTGCCCATATGGAGCTGTGAATGGCTTGGGCTTCGGAACTTCATCCTCGTTGTACATCTATGTGGATCGTCTGTGTCATGGGAACTTTGCGTTTCTTACAGCGGGATTATGGAAGAGTAGGCGTATGACTATAATACTACTTCATGATCGGGAACGGACAATATGTCCAAGTTTGCCGATGCCGTGGGAGTCCTTTATTCCAGCAGCGGGCGTTTTCTTTCACTCCGACACGAGGGGCCTGGCCTATCAGTGGAGAGAATTGGACGGCAGGTACTCTCGGGTTTACGGGATTGCTTAGAGGGTGGTAATTTGTGAGTGATTATTGTGAAATAGTGTGATGCTTGGGTGTCGAAAGATGCCAACGTGTCTTGTTTCCCCGCGCTACGCGGAGGTGAAAATTGAGACGGTGGTTGAGGTTATACTCCCATGCCTTCCTTGTAGCTTTCCCTCTTTGCTTTTGTTTCTTTCTTGTTTATATTAAAGAATTACCGGGATTCTGTTTGATCCTTTGTGACAAGAGTTTATTAATGGCACTTGCGAAATACTCTTTGCTCTGAAGCTAAGGGTCAAAACCTACATGTAGTCAATGACAGCGAGCTTTGGACCGTGGTTGGGCACATAGATAGTGCGGCACACAGGATCACCGAAAAATTATTCATTACAAAAAAACTTTGGGGATATGTTATTACATGAGACGCACTTTTGTAAGATACACATGTTCCAACCCATCACGAAGCCAATCCCTTATTCCGGTACCTAGTAGCTGTCTGTCTCAGGACCTCTCATTACCATACGAGGCAGAAATCCTTTATGGTAGACGACAGTGGTGATTTTATGCAAGAGATCAATTCAGTGACATGGCATAATTGTTAAAATGGGGGGATGACCTAGCTCGTGAACTTGTGCGAACAGTGTACCCCACGCGGGTGTTGGCACGGGATTTTGAGATTTCGCCATGATGGAATGTCGGGCAAAAATATAACGATGTGGAGCATTCTTTCATGAGGCAGACTGAACTTTTTTTTTTTAAATCTCTCAATCTTTTTCATTGATTCTACGTCGAAACATCGATATTGATATGCCCTGTAAAGAAGAGCGTTTGCCGGAAGCGTGATGGATACGCCGATATGTGGATACCTATACGCCGGGTCCGGCTCGGAGACGGCCCCGCTGAAGATGGATTGTGACGACGGTAGAGGTAAAACGCCCATTCATATCGTATGTATTAGGATATCGAAGTTTGCATTGGATTAACATGAGAGGAATCAATGATTGGTGAAAAGAGGAGAAACACTGGATGGCAGTGCAGTCGGATAATTAGACACATTACCCTGCGACGCACATGCACTGCTTACCCGGGAGGATCGGGTGAGTTGGCGCCGCTTGCAATATATCCCTTTCCCCAAAGTTCCCCATGAGAAATGGTGAAAGTTTTACATTCCCCTAGGAGGCTTGGGGCAGAAACTGCTTGTCTCTTTCCCATGGATCCAAATATCGAGAGGTTGTGGTGATGACTATGAAGAGAGTTAGAACGAGAGTTTGCGAAAGGTGAGTATAACATTGATGGCTTGTTGTTCAGAATATTTTGAGCAGAAATGCAAGATATTGATGTATGCAAGGTACAAGAGAAAATTTCTTACTGACTTTATACTTTGATCGGGGTTCCCTTACAATGACCTCTATGTGGAGACCCTCTCTTGTATTGAGTTTAATGGCGGTATGTAAATCTCGAATCACCGGACCACATCCTCTCCATGTCTCATATCATCAACTGGTATAAAAGCTCTCACATAAATAATACCTGCGTCAAAAACGATATAAAGGCGCTCGATGTCATGATCTAGAGGGGCTATTGGCCCGGTATGTCGAATAGGACACAGGTAAGATGTACTCTCTGTGTCTCAACCAAGGAAAATGGATAGACATTGTTAGCATGAGATATGAGAGTCACATTGTTGTAGATGCTGCTAGAGGTGAGCTAAACTGATAGATTCCCATCATTGCTGGAGTGTGTTGAAGTGATCCCGTTGGAATCACGACCGATGATGCATATATACTCAGTCTCTCATCTATGGGTGTGTTGTCAACCTGGTTCCATATATACAGAGCAAATCCCAGCCAGGATTCCATGTCGAGACGCTATGGGGAGGCCATGACCCCATAGACGGACGATTAGAGTACTGCAGTTTATAATCCCAATGTCTAGGCCGGTGACCAGGGTACCATTGCCTGTTTGTCTCCTTCCAGAATATGTTGGAGACGTGGCTTTATATATATTCGGAGGCTCTTCATGTGTGTCTGAAGTCGAGCATCGCTGATTGAGTGAGAGAGCTGTATACAGACGGAGTAACTATGTAGACTACTCGTACTGTAGTGGGATTCGTCAAACCGCTGAAGTGGAAAATGCTGGGATCGCTGATCTTAAAGGTAATGAGCCATACAAAGAAGCAGTTGAATTAAATTACATACATATCCTTCCTCCCAATCATTCCCCAAAAGCCAGATTACTCCACGTAAGCATCATACTCCTCCCAAACTCTTCGCGCATACCGTTGCAGCCAGGCCTGAGTGATGATCACATCTCCCTCACCCTGGCGGGGATTTCTCAAGAACAACAGTCGAAAATCTAGTACCATGTCGTTGCTAGCGATTTGATATGCTGGCGGGATTGTCGAAGTTTCGGTAATATTGATTGTCTGACAACACTCGGGTATGAGTGTGCTTGCCCATCGAGTTGAGACCCCTTGGCGACAGCCTCCTTGAGGTCGCTCTTCCCATCTTTCTATCAGTATTCTTCGTTCAGTCGGGAAAATTTTTGCCAGGATAATAATCTTGATCTGATGATCAGAGTCTGTAAACCAACTTCTGATCTTCTCCCGCACTGCTGGTAAAGTCTGGGAATATCCAGACTCGATCACAAGCGTTGGATAACCCCCGCGACGTTCTGGCACAGGTCCCCCGCATGAGTCTGCTTGTTTTTCTCCTCCTCCACCGCCGCCGCCGCCGCTACCAGAGGGGCGTCGTCCAAAATAGTAACTTTTACTTCCATAGCTTTCCCAGCTGTCATCTAGGCCCATGTTCCTAATCTGGGAGCTGACCTCTCCATTCAGTCGTATGTGAGCTATTTCGTGTGTTCCAGTGACAACCGTGATAATTAAACACCGAGTGTCTTCAGTGTACATGGAGAGGCGGATCTTGTTTCTCTCATTGTCTTCATCCAGCATCTTGAAGACCGTAGGAGACACATCTAAAAACAGTCAGAGACGAACAAGTTGATGACAGTGGCTTAGACGTACCTGTGACACGCAGCGCATCTCCAGGCGCAGTATCAATTGCTGTGAGCAAATCTGCAAGATTGGTCCATCGGATTGTCGGCACCGATTCAGCTGCTCGCGGGTCTCGGACTCTTGAGAGTGGTATTCCCCTGGCCGACTTAGATGACATTGGCACTGGTGCTGCGTGGGGAGTCAGAGTTTCTCGCTGTGTTGAACCCATTGTGAGGGCAATGTCTTGTGTGAGAGAGAGGGTGAGTGGGAAGAAGAGAAGATTGCGTATGTGGTAAAGGAAAGAGAAAGGAGGAGAGGAGAGGAGAGAAAAGGAGAGGAGGAGGCCTTGCTATATATAGAATAATACCTTTCGTTCGCTATCACACGCGCTCCGCAACATAAGATACTTTATTGGTGCACTGTTAGTGATTCACTGAAAGTCTATCGATGAGAGAGTTGAAACTTTAGTCAGTGTTTGTATGAAGGTCTCTATCGCTGAGAGAATTGGAGCATTAATCAGTGATTCACTGAAGGTCTTTATTAGTAAAGGAGATGGCGCGTTTGTCAGTGATTCACTGAAGGTCTTTATCCGTAAGGCAGAGGATATCTTTGTCGGCTAATGAATGACTCAATGAATTGATGATATATTTTGATATAGATTACTGGGGTACTTTGTGGGAGACGTGTATAATTGTTGTCATTCGAGCATGGGCAAATTTCTCCCTTGACGTGGTTGGCATTCTCCACATCACCTGACGAGTAGTCATCAGCTCCTAATCCGTATAAGGGCGCCTTTTATACTATAGATTTCTCTAGAACATTCAGCAGACGTCATCAAATTCAGCAGACGTAATAATCATTGTCATTTTAAAGTTTAAAAAGACGGCCACGTACGGATAGAATAAGGCACAGATCAGATTTGAATTGAACAAGGATTGAGTTCTCATTGCGTGGCGTCGGTTGCTGTTTTCTTTTCGTCTATATGCGCTGGTTTTCCAATGAGGAATCAAGTAGACTTTACACTTGAACACCATGGCTCAGATGTTTCATGAATTAGCGATACCTAGCATCTTGTGTACGCGTTCTCACTCTCTTCGAATACAAACTTTTGTCATGTAGCCACATGAAACGCCATTTGAGTTGAGTAGGCAAGTACCTAATGACTGTAGTGTAGGGGCCGCTAGACTAGAAGGAGATGGAAAGAACAAGCAACCCATTTTACGCTACTACTGTGTGACCCTATTTTCAGCGCCAAGTATGAGGCTTGAAGAGTGAGTTTGTATTATGAAATACTTCAATATGTGGGTTTGTAATGCTGAGTCTGTGAAAAGAGTATCTGGGGAAAGCTAGGTTCGAAGCGTCGATAGGATTGGACATTGATCCGACTTTGGGAAACGCGATAGCGAAACAGACCAATGAACGTCATGGCATGCAGGCGGGGAACTACCGTGGAGCCCGTAATGAAATAAAGACGATGGCGTGAATACCGATGTCATGTTATTGAGACGATCTACAACTATGTTATTCTCGGTAGGTGGTTGCGGCAATAAGAACCAGCCAAGGTCTAGTATCAGTTCACACCCGCATCTACCGCCGTGTAGTCTGTGCTTTTGGCAACCTCCTCCCAGTCTTCGCAAATCTTGATGGTCTCTTCGCATTTTGTCTTGACTCTTTCCCAGCCGTCTGATCCCAAGGGCACTCGCAGAGGGATCTGCTTCCCAGCAGCCATGCCCGTGCCCTTGACGAGCTCAATCATTCGCGTCACGGCTTTGTTGGCATCACCAGGCTCTTTCCCAACGAGCGAGGCTTCAAACTGCCGAACGCCGGCATTGAATTGAGCATAGTCTGGGTTGCGGGGCTCGACATGGCTGATGTTGGAAAACACCTTGGTGCGGAAGTATCCAGGCTCGACAATGAGAACCTTGATGCCAGAGGAGAAGATGGCCAATTCTTTGGCGAGACATTCGACGGCTCCTGTATTTGGCTAGTATTAGCATGCAATGGCCCATGAATGTCAGTGAGTAGCCTAAATCGTGTAGTTTCAGCTGGAACATGGGTGGTAGTTGGGGCACGGCCGGCATAGAAATGGGGTGGGCCATTCCCCGATCTGTAAATCACCGTGCCCATTTCAATAAGTGAGGTAGGATGGGCGTTCAAGGAGATCGGATTGATCTTCCCACCTTCCGGACCTTCTTGTAAAGGTAGGTAACCGAGATGGGGCACATACCTGATAGAGCAAACTTGGCTGCACAATAGCTGCCAGCACTGAGATCGGCGTGCCACGCTGCTTGAGAGCCTACATATAGAAGCGTACCCTTGTTCTTTGCCCGGAAACGAGGGAGAATGGCACGGGTGATGTTGAGGGGACCATGGAAATTCACTTTGAAAGAAGAGTCCATGTCTTCTTGCCTAGTCATGCCCCAAGATTTTTAGGGCTGATCAGCATAATGTTACATTGTAGAAACGTGTTACGGAGATATGTTAGGGGAGCGTTAATGCGAGGATCGTGTATGAGACGACAAAGTCCAGTTTACAAGTAGTATGCATATGGTTAATGAGCAAAGTTAACAAAGGCTGTGCTGATTGATATCCACTTACGTTAACTCCTCAATCGCTCCGCTGACGATGAAGCCAGCATTATTAACCACGATGTCGATACCCCCTGGATAGATCTCCCACGCTTCGCCGATTTTGGTCTGGATTTCGGCGGCAGGCGCCGTGACATCCAAGTCGAGAATCGCCGCTCCAGTGTCTTTGAGATGGGAAAGCTTCGTATCGGCATTGCGACCTGTTGCTATGACATTATCGCCGGCGGCGCGGAGCTGGCGTACTAGGATTTCGCCGAATCCGCTAGAGCAGCCGGTGATGAACCACGTTAAAGCAGTCATCATTTACACCAATATAATTTGTCTTTTTTCTTTTTGGGTAGCTTCTCTAGGACGAAGGAGACTGTGCTTTGCAGCGTAGTATGATCTGCAAGTACAGTATGCGTGTAAGCACGGACTGGTCGTGGCAACCCTGGAGGGTCTGAATGCTCTTGGTGAGATAGGCGAAGCCCGGTTGACCGATCATGTGGTGGGAATTTTTTGCTGGGTTTTATTAGTGCTTCTTTTCTCCCTTTCTTCTCTTTTTTGGCAATATGCGAGTACTGCAGCTACAGCATCAGCATACGATTTGTCTCCTATCCCCGGTGGTGGTGCAGTAGTATTGATGGAGATTCTGGCAAGGTGGAGAAGAGCTTCTAAAAGCTGCGGAGGGGGGAGATTTATGTCCTAAAGAAGGTTGACAGTGGAAGAGAGGAACCTCAATTCAGCACATAAAGTCCAAAAAGATTTCTGAAAGTTGATACTGCCAAGTCGCTTATAAATACTTTTGTTGGTAATCGAAGCAGGATCGAAATTGGCGGGGAAAAAGAGGAGGAGAATTGATGCATCATGTTGGTCCAGAGTAGAGCCAACAACTGCCAACTGGTATTACAACCAATATTTCTACAACTGTTGGCCGTCTCATGGAGGAGAGGATCATCTCAGAGCAGTAAAACCGGCACCATACCAGTTATGCAGAGACATTCTGTCCCTGCGTCTTTTCTTTGCCCCATGTTACATACATGTACCGTAGACGTACACACTCCGAAACTGCGCGGGATGTCCAGGGCAAACGACACTAGGGGATGCAAGATGCTGCTCCGGCTTGCCTATTCGGAATACGCACATGCCTTAGCTTAGGATGCATGCCCGTGGAGCGGCCCATATAATTCCCTTGAACTGCAGGGCATGTAGTTGGACCGCCTCCGCTCACGCAATTATACAAATTTTCAGGGTTGGTATGTCAGTTAGGCTATTCGTAGCGTACTCGTACAAGTACTTTGTTCATGCCTGTTATAGATACTGCGATAAGATGGGCTATTGTGTCTGAGGCCGGAAACCTGAGAACCATCTCATAGTACAGCGAATGAATTCGGCTTCAGCTCCCCGCTGGAGCGGTTCTAATATCCGCTCTTGTGCATGACGTTTACATCAGACGATCCAGTCGCAAATGCAGATGATAAAACTCGCAGGATTCGGCTCCAGTTTTCCCTGCGTTGCGGCATCACAAGCTTGGTGTCTACAGCAAAGCGTAAATTGGTGCCCTTTGACGCAAAAAAGCTCGCAGATCATGGTTCCCAACGATGGCACCCTAGGCGGGGCATTTCGCCGTGGATTGAATCTTTCCCCTGCAGGATAACTATAACTGGGATTAGGTGAAATATGCATTTTGTGAATATAAACATACCAAGGTGAAGTATAATACTTATGATAGAATAGCGATATTAGTATAGGAATATGTATGCCAGCAGTGGTTGGATCATGATGAGCTGTTGAAAGGCAACCGGTATCGTCCGAATCTACGGAATGTATCTTGTGTGTAAAATATGTCTCCAAAATAGCTTTTCCATCTCTTGCTGCAGTTTCGAAGCCGTCGTATCTCGTAGGAAACAAGTTTGTAGCCGAGTGGCTAGGCTCGCAAGATGTTCAACGTTGAAGGGAATGATGAACCCAAGAAGTATTGAATTATACATACCTACCTTACATGTTGGTAGCATTCGCGACCTTCTCATCGGCGTAATTAGCGCTTAGCTCGGTCCGGAGTATTACCTACTACCCCGGACATGCTGCTTTTGTATGCGCGCCGCTCGATCTAGCAAAATCTCGAGTCCAGGTAAAGTTTTGGCTGCTGGCGGATCCAGGCAAGGCACGGGCATCTCCGTGCTAGTGAAGCCGCAAACGGGCCGTTCCAAGGGCCGGGGATCGGCAAAAGAAGGTCATTTGCTTCTACGAGAGATTCTTTGCCGCCCCTCTTCGCCGTAGATCAAACTTGTGAGTAGACAGACCCTGTACCAATACCGTGGAATGGCGATTATGCAGAAAAGCCCCATTGAAAAGCACCACCACGGGCCACATGCATGGCCTTGTGGTCTTTTGAGTGGGTTGACCAACTATGACGGGACCATCGGTTCCCGAACTGGGGACTGGCCGATCCTTTTTCTTCTCTAATTGGGCTCAGAAGCCACGGCGATGCCGGTAGACTGCTTCAACACCAATATGTTCGCTATACGAGGTATCTGGTAGCCACGAGCCATTCGTCAACATATGAGGCACCAAAAAAGAAAGAGAAAAAGAAAAAGAAAAAGAAGAAAAAGAGAACAGAGAACAGAAAGTTTAAATAATCTTATCCACAGGAGAACAAACCGATGGTGAGCTTTCGAGTGAGAAGAAAGGCACAGCTCGTAATTACGAACGCCTTCCCGGCCTCGGTGGCCGCGGTCCTGCGCGTCTCGGGGAGGCACGCTTATTCGTATAATCAGTTGAAACCACGGAACATTCAACAGAAAATGCCGTCATGGTTCGGCTTTTTGATTGAGCCCGACTTGCGCTTCGTGGCCCTGCAATAACTGGGTCTTACGCTGACATCTTGCATGTGCTTGTATGCGGCCAGCTTCCGACCCGCCGTGGCGGGATCGATAAACACAACCAGAGGACTCATATCGGCTCAATTCGTCTTGGTAAAATGTACATATTGCTTACCCTGGGTAGTCCTTAGTCGTGAAGTCCAAGGCCCTGTGGGTTGTAGATCCCAACCCTTCGGACGAACGGAAGGTGACAATGTGTCAAATGTGTGAGCCCAACACGAGTGATGTGTCTTACCTGGGGAGGCAATCCTATGGAAGAAATGGGTCGTTCTTCGAGTACTCAGCTTTCCCGATTCATGAAGGTATTGCCCAAACACGGCAGTCCGTGGGGTATTCTTGGCCGATATTGTAAACTTGGCATGCACTTTATCCATCGCGGCTCAGAATGACACATGGACGAGGTCAACATCGGACGAACTCCCTTTTATGACACACAGCATCCAATCGCACCCGGCATATTCTATGTTTGCAGTGTTATGGCGCTGCCGTAACATTCGAGTACGAGTACTCTTCTCCCTGTTAGGTTACCCTTTTCCCTGACACCCCTTCCCTGCTTCTGGAATATTCGTTCGGGTTGACAAGCCCCGTATCAACCCTGCCCGACTTGTAGGTGCACCTGTATGGAGTACGTGCATATGAGACACACCCTGGGAACCAGTTTGGGGCCTTGCTTCTAGCTTTCTCCACAATGAGATGGACGGATGGTGGACAAAAGGTTTTTACATTCTTCTGGAGTGTTGGTATGTGAGTTTCCCGGCGCTTGGTTCTGCAGGAACAGTTTGGCCAAGTTCAATTGGGGCCAATTGGCCTGCTTGCATACCCCTTGGATCCATGGACTTGATCTCACACATAAGCACTTACAGGAGCACCTTGTGCTTCAGCAAGCCGGTGCCTGCATGACCGTAGAGAAATCCGACGGAGCGAACTCCGTCCAAACGTTGCATCTGTTACCCGAACCCGTCCTTTGTCCACCCATGCATACTACTACAGTGCTACTACTATGACATGTGGCGACTGCTCACACGCAGCTCGCACCCTCATCCACCACTAATGCTTATGAGGCATATGCAAGGACATGGGAGAACATTGGGACTGCAGCGTTAAATTACATTGTCATTTATTTTATTTTATTTTTATTGGTTCACCTTTTCAATGCTGGCAAAAGATACAGCGCCGCCACCCAAAGGCACCACAGCTTCCACACCACCTCATCCCACCAATGACCCATATTCTTCAACGCAAGCACCGACATTGCGCATCCTATGCTTGTCGATGCTGCCCAACCCCATGGAGACGCATCCCAGAAGAACGGACACGCTACCGACCAGAAACCTACCATGACTGCCAGTGATATTCGTGCCGCGGCCTCGCCGTACAGCAGGGGCACCGTCTGTCTCCCACGAGCCATATCCCCCTCAATGTCTGGTAGGTCTTGTGCGTGGACCGTTGTCATGATGATGGCTCCCGTCACCAATATCCAGGCGAAACCTTCCGGCAGCAGTTCTCCTCCAGACAGCGTGGCTAATGCGCCCCAGCTGAAGCACATGAGTCCTCCTGCGTTCAGCGCATTTCGAATCCAGATGCCGCTGTTACTACCATCTAGATCATTGTACATCCAGACGAAGACCATTAATGTGATGCTCGCTGTATAGCCACCAGATAGAGAACTCAAGCCCATTGCAGCCACAATGGCGGCGAGGAGCCAGTCTCGTGCTTGCTCTGGAGAAATCCGTCCTGAAGGCAACGGTCTCCATGGCTTGTTGATTGAGTCTTCTACAATAGACCCTCCAAGGCGCTGGTTGGCGATGTCTTCAACCAAGAGATTCACCCAAATCCACGCGAGCATCAACGGCACGCGAGACGCTATACTCCATACATGTGGGAACTCGCCCTCTCCGAGGTGTGCCGTTGTAAGCTTTGTCGTCGATAATGCTGCTGTGATGGCGAATATGCCCTGTGGTGCAATGACTGTTTTAAAATCGCTTTTTGTGAACAGGAAAAGAGTCTTCAGATGATACAATAAAGATCGACTCTGTATCAAAAATGTCAGCACCTAACCACGTTCTCATAGTTTCGACAAGCATAGGAGTGACATTTGCTGACTGGGACCCAACTCTTACTTACAGACAGATTATGAGGGTGTTCTACATCAGCAGTCTCAATGGGGATTGGGTCCGGAGTTATGACTCCCTTTTCTAATAACGTGTAATTGTCCATGATTTGCACAACGGGAGAGGAAATAGCTGCGGCTTGCCCAGCAAGAGACGAGAAGGATGGGAGATGGTTCTTTACCAAGACAGAGAAGTTGAACTACGAACAGGGGAAGCGGATCTGGCCTAGCTATATGTACATGAACTTATATCCGGCGCACGTTCACTCTCCATTGACCATTTTCTTCTGACATACACCAAGACCTTGAAAGAAGGTATTGCACCACTTCACCACATGGCCCCGACTTTTAAGGAGACCAGGATCAACGGTGCCTTTTCGCGATCATCTTTCCAGGTCCCAGGGTCTGTGCTGGGTGGTTATTTGTGGAGAGAGATGAGACAATAAATGGCGGACCCGCGATCACGTCTCACTCCAAGCTGTGATTCATTAATACAGCCCTATTTCCACAATAGGAGGGAGCCGGAGACTTTCCACTGAAGTCAGTTCAACTGTCACATCGCAGTCTTTGATCAACTCACAGCTCAGAAACCAACATCACCACGCTTGGACAAGGCGATAGCACACGCTCATTGTGCTGTGGGTCATGATTAACTTGAATTATCTGTACCCCCTCAATAGTGAAGCACACGCCCCGCCCCCCTGCTAACACCGATGCTTGTGCTTTCGTTCTTAATGTTGTACGGAGTATGGTAGCACGAATGAGCAGGTGGCTAACACGATTCTGTTCGCTCTTCGGTCGGTATGCTGACCAATCTGTGTATTCTCCAGACAGGTCCAAAATATAAGCAAATTGACCGCCTGATGATACTCTTCTCCTGCGAATCATCAGATCCAACTCGTGACAGTCGCCTCTTCCCGTCACCACATCAGGCCGTGCCCTGATAATTTGATGATCCAGGCTGATATCAGGTTTCAATAATACGATTTACCGTAGCTTTCGGCAAAGAGGTCTGTTTCTTCTCCAGGAGCTGACATTGCCGCCAATGACGGCTTCCCCTTCCGAAAATCCCGTTCAATCTCACTGAGAAACAAGCCCTAGCCATGGTCTTTCACATTATCCCTGCTTGCGCCTTCGCGAGCATCTGTTTGGGATTAGCCACGCTGTCATACTTCCACTTGCAGCAACCTCGTAACCTTCGGTGGTATGCGCAAGCCGCAGCCATCATCTTCTCTGAATGGGTGCGTTAGATGCACTTCTCAAATTTTCCGCGTTTTCACGTCATTCTTGTCAAGAACTATACAGACACCGTGTCAGGTCGCATTATTTTACGTCTCATTGATCGCTAATGGGGTTGTTTGCGGTAGTTCTTTTCGAATCTAGTTTACAGGCTGGCCTTTCATCCTCTCGCCAAATACCCAGGGCCTTTGATCGCGTCGCTCACAGACTGGTACACTGTTTATTGGATTGCAGAGGGAGGCCGCCATCTCGAGCTTGATTGGCAGCACAAGAAACATGGTACGTTTCTCGTCATTGACACGCCATTTCGACTCATCAACTTACGCTCAAAGGGAAATTCGTTCGATTTGGACCTAACCGACTATCAATCAACTCTGCAAAGGCGTCTCGAGACCTTCACGATGTCAATTCCAACACTTTCAAGGCCGATGCGTATGGCTCCTTCAAGCGCTTTTTTGGAGCAGAGATGTCTCTGACCACTGTGGACCACAAAGCGCATGCTTTCAGGCGCCGGGTCAATATGACTGCCATTACGCCGGCTGCGGTAAAGGAATTCGAAGACCAAGTAACGCCGCATCTTGATGAGTTTACCAGCATCATCGGCGAGGGAGCTGGGAGCAATTCACAAGGAGAGCATGGCTGGAGTCCAGGTAAGGACATGTCATACGCTGTCGCTTTTTGTATTGCCGATATCATGGGCTCTGTGACCTTTGGTCGAACATGGAATGTCCAGAGAGATCCAAAGTATCGACACTTTGTTAAAGATTTACCCAATGGTGTCGCTGGAATCCACTTGGTAAGTCAAATCGAGGCTGCGTTTTTATGTTTCTACGTTTCATTGATGGAGAGATCAAATACGGCAATGAGCGATCCACGATATTATCTAACCGGCTAACATTTGCCCTTAAGGTGGGCCATATGCAATCCCTCTTCTTCTGTAATCTACACAAGGTATTGTTCAAAGAACTCATCGTTGGTGTGGGCAACTTGATGTCGGTCAGCCGATCCTTCGCCCTCTGGCGCCTGGAGCAATCATCTATGCCGCACAGAGATATTTGGCAAGCACTCATTGCATCGCGCGATCCCAAGACCGGCAATGCCTTCTCTACAGAAGAACTCATATCGGAAGCCAGTCTTTTCATCATTGGTGGTACAGATGGCATGATCACGGCAACAACTTCGACCTTGTTTTATCTGACCCACAACCCTCGTACACTTGAACGTCTAACTCGCGAGATTCGTGAAGCTTTTCCCCTATCACCTGAAGATACCGGAAAGAAGGCGTCAAACGTAAAGTGTCCTATACGATTTGCTTCTGCGGAACTTCAGAAGATTGTGTACTTGCCTGCCTGTATTGATGAGGCTATGCGCATGTCATCCCCCGTCCCAAGCATCTTGCCACGCGTCGTAGGCCCTGGGGGAATGACGGTTGACGGCGAATATTTCCCAGCGGGAGTGAACTTGGGAATACCGCACTACTCCATGCACCACTGCGAAGATAACTTTGCCGAGCCATTGACTTATGCTCCTGAGCGCTGGATCCCTGAGGAACGTACCAAAGGGCTCAAGGATGGCTCCGTCCCAGTGTCAGGGAAGGAGTCGTTCAAAATGCGACCAGCAGTGGGACAATCTTATGGATTCACCCCATTTGGTGGTGGCCGTAGTAGCTGTATTGGAAAATACCTGGCTTACCAGGAGATGTCCATTGTTTTGGCTCGCCTCATCTGGCTTTTCGATATTCGCCTGGATCCCAGCAGCAACATGGGCGAAGGGATTGGAGATGCCCGGGAAGGAAGGGGGTGCAAGAGCGAGTTTCAGCTGTATGACCGGTTTGTCAGTTCACAGAAAGGACCAATGCTGCAATTCCGGTATCGAGAGGAACTGGTTGCATGATCTGAGCACTGCATTGGCCTGAGAGCAAAAGATTTATGAATATGAAGATTAGAATACGAAGATTAAAATAGGTGCTTATATGACTACGTCGTGTTTACTACATATAATGAGCTTTTCATTCTACCTGGAAGTGATGTGAAAACAGGGGGAAAGACCAGAAAGTATAATGGAAGTATACTGTCGGGGAAATGTTCCCTTGTTGGCGAAAGAAACAGGGTACATGACTCCCAAAGTCTCCCGAGCTCGTTGACCGACTGACTCGGTCGCCTGCCCGACTTGGTTAATCCACATTCTCTTTCAGGAGCAACCCAAATTAAAGTGCTGATTTCTTATTTCGTCTGATTGTTCTCTTTTTATGGCGGGGTAATTTCTTAGAAACTGAAGAGGTTAGACACCCATCTTCACTTTACTAAGTTGCAGGAGCTCCAGAAGGAAGTCTCTTTGGCGTCTCAATGCTTCTACAAGTAATGAGAGCCATTTCAACTGCCAGTATCCCGCAATGAGCGCCATCAAGCTAGGGACACAAGTAAAGCCCCATTTGTCATCGAATTTTGCTCACGGGCCGCAATCTTACACCCTCCCCCCTGGTCACTGAGATGGACGCGCTGCTGATCGTTGTTGGACGCTAGCTCTTGCTTATAAGGGCAAGAGGGAATAAATGAGCCCCAGAAAATGCAACATGGATACATGTAGTTGAGTGGTAATGACTCCATAAGAGAGTCCCAGATTGTGGGAGACGCTGGCTGCGAGCCGAAAACTGATCACCCACTGGGGATGCTCTGCATCACCATTTGCATAAATATCACGGATCTACTGCCGGGAGTATGGAAGAATAGCCTATCCAAGTAGTCGGTCGGTTTCAGGAGACTCACGTGGAATAGATCCAGACTGATAAACAAGAGTTTATTTGTTAAATCAGTGTAGTGCTAATTCGTTGGCTCGGAGAGTTTTGGACGCCGCGTATCGGAGAGTCTGCGCGAAAATCCCGACAAGGTAATCTAGGACAAAAAGAATAAGCCAATCTCAACACGTGGAAAAGAAACACAACTAAAACGACAAACCACGGGCTTTGGGGGGTATGTATCAAATCATCACGCATACGAGTATGTCTAAGAACAAGTTGCCTTTCCATAAATGCGAGCGCCATGACAGAAATGGCTGTATGCCGTATGTAGTACACTCAAGCGAGACCCGCATTCTTAGCGATATAATTGTGTTGTTGGATCTATTCTCCGTGAGGCGAGCTCAGAAATTAGCGAAACTAATGTAGATTGTCGGGATGTGCAAACTGCGGTTAGACCATCCCAGTTGCGTTTGATTTTTTCCAGGTTTCGCGGAGTTGGTGATGACTTCTGGGTGTTCGGGGGCGCTGTTTGTCGCGATTTGCTGTTAAATGACAAAATTATTGCAACCCGCTCAAACTAAGCCTTTGTATATATTCAGTGACAGTAATCACTCAATGGAGCCAAGCATTGGTTGGTTCTAAGACGGAATAAAAAGCAAACATGTGCTTTTAGTGCTCAGCATGTTGGAGATCCACAGATGACTCTCAACCGTGCAATGCCCTCCCAAAGGGAGTAAAGATTATACGCCGCCTCGATCCAACGAAGGTAGTCAAGCACAAAGACACATTCTTACAGACAAGTCTCCTCATTATCTTTGACTCTTACGAGAACATCTCTAAAAGTTAAAGCTACAAGCGCCGTCAGTTTCTTCAAGAAGGACTGCTATTACCAACAATCTCCGCATGTGAAAGCTAGACTGATCATACCATACATGGACATCCAAGACCAACTTGTACCCTCAGCGCTTTCTGTCTATTACAAGGCTTCACTGCGACCCATATTAGCTCAAAAGGCAGAAATACCTTCCATAGTCCAAGCAGGGAATCTCCAAGATGTGGTCTTGAAAGAGAGATTATACCAGAAAAAGCAGCTGCTCGATCCTCTGCCCTGGCGAAGGACATGCTGCAGTATGCTTGGACGAATCTCGCCCAATAGGTAAATGGATGGCTAGCTTTGAGCTTCCATCTGAGGCTGAGCTCTTCGTATAGAGAAAGGCGAGCTAAGTATTTGCTTATATCTTCCAGAGGGATACCTAGGTCTTCACCTCGTATTTCGAAACCGAGTGTGTTTATATCAAGGTCAGCTGAATAGGCTTGCGGGAACTCAATCCAGCGATGTGCCGCTGCAGAACCTGCATAATGAGGCAAGTTTGATGCAATCTTTTCTAGATATGAAGACGTAAGAATAGTGCGCTTCCCACCATTGCTGAAGCTTCGATATTTTGTTACGTGATGGTAATCTTCTGAGATGGATGCTGGCATTCCATTCGGGAGATTTCCGAAGCCTGGAGTTCGTCGCAGTGCCAATACAGCTGCTCACGGCAACAATGCAAGGCCCGGGGCGCCAAAAGAACTTCTTGTAACACCCAACCGCGAGTGTATAAGACATGATCTCTGAGCACATCTGAGCTATTGACTAGATATTGGCTCTGGTCGAAAATCCCAATGCAGGGCTCTGGTTGAATGGCACGAGGATTCCTCGTATAAAACAACCTTTGGAAGAGTCTTTGCCATCAGTTGCGGCAATGTTACAAATGGAATTCTTATACACGTTGCCCATTAGAGCCGCTTCTCGTAGTCAGTCATCCAAATCGTCCTGTATGATGCATAAGGAGTCGATCCACAGATATGAACAACCTAAGTATTTTGCCAGCTATGCAGCTTATAGAAAGGTCTTTGGTAACTTCTTTATGTCAATATTTTGCTGAAACGCTGAAAGTGACATTTTTACAAGCCGCAGTGGACTGCCTCCACCCCAGCAGTGACTCGGGGTCATGTATGGAACGGCTGGAAGTTGTTCTGTTGAACAATGGAGCCGCACTCTGATAATCTCCCCTTCGGACTGAAGAAACAAAAGTCTAGTAGGCTTGAATGCTGCATCTGTAAGACTTTTATTGCGACAATGAGCGTGGTTTATCCTGCAATTTTGAAGCCACTTGGAGACTTGCTGCAAAGAGGTGTAAGACCCCGTGTTGTTGGACAAGGGTTGAGATGCAATGTCACTGGCTTCCAATGAAGCCAGCTTGAAACTGCATCTTGCTCCGGAATATTCTCCTCTCGGTTCCTCGGAAATGATGGTGAATCCTAGGATAGAAGCTTCCCATGACGTTGCAGGCTTCCAAAACATGATGTATCCAAGCAAATCGTGTTTCAGTCCCCTTTTTGTTCCCAAACGGTAGAACAGACACGACAGCCAGCTTTGACCGATGCGGCGAGAGAGCCAGAAGTCCAATGATGAGCGCCTTGAGAATCATCTCGCGCTCTCATCGCTCTTATTACAGTACGACTGCAAAGTAGACAAAATTGAACAGTGTGTTCGCAAGTCTTTAAAGAGCCTTCTGGGGAGAGATAAGATTGTCGGTCTTGTCGTGCAAGAAAGAGAGTCATCAATATTGTTGTAGAATGGGGTAGAGCAAAGTATCCTTTTCTCGCAAAATGGTCAAAGAAAGGAGAAAAGGTAGTCGTAGACTTAGAGATACTGTAGAACCATCCAATCCAGAAGCTCAGCAAGACGTAGAGGCAAGTTGACCAGCCTGTGTTGTATCGCAAATTGGCGAGCTCGGTATTAGCCGTCCAATCCTGTTTCCCTCCAACAGTAAGTTGCACCAGAATGGTGAGCAAGGCCGCCCCATATAGAAATGCACAGTGATTCAGGAACTCATATCCGAAGACCCAAAATCCGTATGCTGCAAATGCACCCCACCATGTGAGATTGACGAGGCCGTTCATTATTTGTAGGAAAGTTCGTCGGCCACGATCTCTTGTCCTAAACAGCACAAGCCATATCATTTCGAAGACTGGGACGATGACTCTGGATTTGTTGTCGTTGATAAAAGCCTTCCTCAGGGCTATCAGTGCCGGTCGACTCGTTCTGGGGCGGCAATACCACGCGTTAAGCTAAAGAAACAATAATCGTGAATTGCACGAATTCATGTGGTGATTCATAGAGGAAAATAGAGGGTGAAGAGATGGGTACCTAGGCGTTTTCGATGCCAAGATCAATAGCTTGAGCTGTACTTCAGCCTTATCGCGTAGCTCAGCTCAACTGGTTCATCAGAGCGTGGCTGTGGTAACGCAAGCTGAATGAGCGGTATTTGAGCAGCCCAGTTGAGAATTGGGAACTATGGTAGTAAGATGTCATATTCGGATTCGACAGAGAATAAATTGAAGGTGAAAATTTACGTCTCTTATTAAAAGGCTAGCACATATGGACTTTCATCACATGGAGAGGTTGAGGTAGGCATAACATCCAGTATAAAGTATACGAAGGAGGAGCAAGAAAACAGGTCATGACCCCCAACCGCAGCACCTTGAGCTCGTAGCCCCAAACCTGTTCTCATTTATACTTCATGTTCTCAGTCTTACAGATTTAGCCCTACAGCATGTGCTTCTATCAATTTCTCCAAAGAGGATGTCGCAATACAAGAGCGGTAAATATTCCCAGACGTAGTGACAGGGCATCACCAGGCCACAGGCAAGTGAAATTTTCATAGTCCAAAATTCGCAGTTGCACCGTCAAGAAAAAAGTCTTCGTGGCGCAGTTGGCTAGCGCGTCAGTCTCATATTCTCAATATGATCCAAATAACCAGTTTGGGCCATCTGAAGGTCGTGAGTTCGAGCCTCACCGAGGACATTCTTTTTTGCCATTTCTTTTTCCAAATCAACAATCTTTATTAACTATTTTGCCTCGAGTAAAGTAATAACTCTCTCAGCCCTTGCTTGACTCGCAAAAGTGAACTTGCTGCTCAGCGTCCACATCGCCTACCCTGTTGCTTCCAATTTCATGAAAAAGTAACGGCCATCCATGCCCCACAGCTCCCATATAGTTCGTCGAATCTTGGTTGAAGTTGTAACATCGAGAGAGATAAGTTCGGTGTCGCTCTAATTCGGCCAAAGATATAGGGAATTGTTTGAGATAGTTCGCGACTGTGGGCAG